AATCCCGCCTTAAAAAAAAAAAAAAAATAGATATACAAAACATAAGTAAGTAGAAATAAAATTTATTAGAAAAACTGATGTACAATCTGATTATCAATGAACGTCAGTCCCGGCAATTTTTATTTTTTTGTAATTTGATAAAATTGATAAAAAAAACTTGATTTTCCAAAAAAAGTTATTAGCCCTTTTTACTTAAGTACCTAGTACCTACCTAAAAAAAAAGTCTCGGGTACGGCTATAGCCCTACAAGCCATACCAGTACGCGCGCCTATGTATAATATATAATTTATGTGCGTGAAAAACAAATACTATCTATGTGGCGTGATTTGTGAGAGTCTGCTAGCAGTAGTACATATTATAATTCCCCCCCCCCATCCTCACACTGATACCAATAAATTAATTTACTTACATATTTTAGAATTTTATTAAAAAAAAAAAAAACTTCTAATAAATAATAATAACATTTATTTATATGTCAAATCGATTCTTCTTGTTTTTTTTGTGAAATCGTCAATTACATTATCATAAAATGAATTTTGATTTTGAAGTGTAGTCAACAATCGTTTCTCAATTGTTAAAAGCGACAGATCTGAAAGTCTATTTTGGGACTGGTAGTTTCTGAGATGCGTCTTTATTCTTTTCAAACAGGAAAATGAGCGTTCAGCGCCTGCACTTGTTGCTGGAATGGTTACCATCAATGTTGCTAATTTTGTAACTTGTGGTAAGCTATCTGATAAGTCAGTAGATTTGAGATACATCCAAAGTTCATGAATGTTTGCTTTATGAAATTCAGTAGATGAGTATATAATAGAAAGTTCACTTCGTAAAATTGCAAAATCAAAATATTCACCATATTTATCTTTCAACGAGTCCATTGAATTTGTAGGAAATTTATTGACATACTGTTCAAATTTTGAAAAATCTAATAAAGAAAAAAAAGTCAGTTGAGTTATCTCTGCAAATCTTTCATTAGTTTTTGAAATTAATACGTCGATGATTTCAAAATAGAGTCTTCGGTAATTTGTTTTTCTATCTACAGCTGATACTTGAGTCACCCTTTGCCTTTTTGCCTTTCCTGAATTGCTGGTATGTTAATTAGTTTAAAAAGATTTATTTCAAAAAAAAAAAAAATCGGGCATTGAAGGGTTAACGGTAAATCTGTATGATACTGTTCCGATTTCAACTAAATGCGTTCAAAATCATTTTTCATATTTTTTAAATGATTTAAAAAATCAAATATTTTTTTATTACAATAAGTCACATCAAATATTTTTGTTTGTATTATATTAAAAAGTATTGTTGCTTGAGGTAAAATATTTCCAAATATTAAAAGAAAAAAATTGAAGTCAAAATCTTGAATTGTTTGACAAAATCCTTTAGCGCACAATAACGTTTCACTATCCCATTTCTCACCATTTTCTACGATCGAAATCATGAGATTTAAAACTTCTTCTCTGTACTCAGACATCATTTCAATAATTCTACTATTATAATTCCATCGTGTTGGAGCCACAAACGGAAATCTTTTTTTTACTTCTTGATCAAGTGCGTGAATTATTTTTGTTGATTTTGAAAAAAATGATGAAAGTCCAGAGAGCGTAGTGAAAAATATTTTACATTCTTTTATATAATCGACGGATTGTTTTAATATTAAATTTAGTTTATGAGCATAACAATGTACAAAAATCGCGTTTTTACATTATGAGCGAACTAATGTCTGTAACCCGTTATGTTGTCCTGACATGACGGCAGCCCCGTCATAAGTCTGTGCAACTAATTTATCTATGCATTTATGTTCATATAATAAACGAAAAACATGTTCAGCTAAACACTTAGCAGATCGATCATGACTGACATCTACAAATCCTAAAAATCTTTCTTCTACTCCTTCATTAGTCACATATCGTAAGATTGTAGATAACTGAGATTTGGACATATCTGTTGTTTCATCCATAATTATAGAAATAAAATTTGTATGTTCAATTTCGTTTTTGATAGTTTTTAATAAGATATTAGAAATAGATTGAATGAGATCATTTTGTATGTCTCCAGAAAGTCCAGAAAAAACAGTAGATGTCGAAAGATGTCCATTTAATTTTGGATCGAGTGTACCCATTAAATGTATTAATTCAACATAATTTCCCCTGTTAATAGATGTGACTTGTTCGTCATGTCCGCGAAATGAGAGCTCTTGTTTTGCCAAATAACATGTTGCATCAATTAATCGACTTAAAACGTACCTATTATTTTTAACAGATTCATTATGTTTTTCGATACTTTGCTTATATGCTTCACTAAGACATGTTTCTATTCTAATATTGCCAAATTTCTTTAAAGTAATTAAAGATTCGATATGAGAGCGATTTATTTCATGTCGATGTTTTAAATTATGATAATTGTTTAAATCACTGCAGCCATACTTAGACCAAGTATTAGATTCATGCGAAAATAAAATACACGGCCAGCAATATAATTTTTGAGTTTTTTGACAACCAGACAACCATTTATTAGTATTATAATAAGAGGGATTAAAGTAACGAAAATTATTTTTACATTTTGATTTTAAATCTTGAAGTGTTGGTGTAGGTCTCCCTTTATTTATAATATTTTGCTTTTCAATAAAAGTATTTGATCCAAACGATTTTAATAGTAATTTTTCAATATTATAATTACATTCGTTATTACCTGAAGAGCTTGTCGAAGAGTCCATTTTTTTATAATACATTAAACATTATTAATAAAAACGTAGTGTTGTAGACGCACGTTGCATTCGCATTCAATGATCGCTATTCGCTGTCACACGGTCGCGTATGCATTATGAAAAATGCTTACGAACTATGTAATAATACGTGCCCCCTCCTATTGTACTTTACCTATTTCACTTTAATAGGCTCGCGTAAGCAGTTTCAATTCGCATTACACGGTGAATAGTATAAATAAAATAACACGAAAATAAATCGCTGATAATACTATGGGCATCGATAATGTAGACGGTGGAAATGATGGCACGGCGCGCGGTTGACACGACCTAGGCGGACGATAAGTTTTCCCTCGGTGAGGTGGCCGGTCACAGTCTGAGTGGTGGTGTTGTGGTGAGCTTAGAAATAAAAATCGAATGAACACAATCTGATGGACAATTTGATTTATATATTGTGTAACGAAAGAACAACCACAAAACAAATTAAAAGTCTATATAAAATAGGTGGCTTGGCGACGGTGCTAACAAAGCGCAAGAAAAAAAGAACAAGGACTTATGTTCGACAACGGTCACAAGCCAAAAGGTTGGTCATTTGAGGCAACCGGTCGGTACGTTGCCACCGGTTCCGATAACTTTTCCCACCTCTGCCCGGTTTTCCGAGGTAGGTGGGTAATATTGGAAACGGTGTTGTCGTTGCCCGGGTTGAGGCTGGGTAGAAAGCGGGCGCGGCTCCGCGATAGTGGTGTACTTGTTGTACCCACACCACAGCGGGACCGCGTCACGGTGGCACGTACACTACTATATACTTGTGAAGCAACCATCAAACATGTTACGCGCATCCTAAAAATAAATGATAACTTTTATTAAATTGATTATTTGATTTGATTTTATTCAAAAAAACTTTTTTTCCTCTTTTCAAATGTAAGCAGTGCTTACAGTGCTTACATGTACGCTACGCCCCTGTCGCAGAACAAATATAATTGAAAAAGAAACATTTATTAGAAATACTATGAAACGGTTAGAAGAAAACCAAATTGACAAATTTGAATTTATACAAATACTATCATACAAGATTTTTACTAGTGCCAACTAGTCTGGTTCGTTCGTGGTTATAGGATCTCAGGATTGCACACCAATTCTTATTTTGAAGGCGGAAAAAACACCTGAAAGATTGTACGTGATAAAACCAAATATACACTTTCTCATAAGTGCATGCAATCTATCCAAAACATGCATCCCACCCCCATATTCTGACATAAACAATAAACATTGTTTAATTCATTAATTTCTGTGATCAACTTTTTTTTACTGAAAATCCGCTAACTTTTTATCATATCTTGTATTCCAAAAAACTGTTACGACTCAGTAAAAACGCTTTAGCGATTACCGTTGTTCGAGCATCCATACCACTAGCCTAAATTTGATGACGTATTCGCATGAATCGGATCTATTACAGCTCAATAATTATTGGAAACATTGTACGCGAAAACGGAATGTAGATTTCGCCACCTAGGCCAACATCGAGCTTGAAAATACGTGTAAGAACAAATAATTTTCATATTTCAGTAAATGTCAACAAACACTTGCTGATTAAAATGTGACCGTGGTTAACACGGTCATCACTTCGTATGTTGTGTCTAACGATGATTCCACTCCGTGAGTGACGGCAATAATGTGTTGACCTCGACAACCGACCGAACACATCCTTGCCGTAGTCGAATGTATAGATTATGATGACCTTTTTTAATTTCTCAGAATGTCGGCGTCAATGATCACGGAACGAACATTTTCCCGAGTCCTCTTACCAGACCACCGAAAGACCTCGCTGACGTGTGTTCCATAGTACCATAAGTACAAGGCGAAACCGACCATTGTCTGATAATTGCATACATACGATCGAGTACTATGACAATAAATTATTGTTCGAAAAAATTCAAAAAATCTTGAAAAACACGTGTCTCGTCATGTTCTTTTTTTTTAGTCCAAGTCGTTACGTTTTCAACTGTAAATAAATTGCATTATACTCCACACGTGAGCAATACACCGCGGTCAATACCCAGTGGCGGATTTAGCGTTTTGGCGCCCCTAGACTTAATCACTCTGCCCCCCCCCCCCCTTATCACTCTACTAAGGAACATTCAAAATTTGGTCTAACCCTTCTCTTCAAATTTTATTTAGTTTTTTTATAAAAAAAAAATATTAAATATTAAATCTTTAAATTAGAAAACTTCCAAAAATAAAATATTTCATGTCTGTTATTTTACTTTAGATACCATTATTACCAGTACAAATAAACAATGCTTATATAGTTACATAAAGGAAATATAAATAGGCAGATATGAAAATACCTATACTCGGATAGTCGGATGTTCCCAATAGAGATGTAATGTACATTCGAATATTCGAATATTCGTCTTCGAATAGGTCCACCGTGAATAATTCAAATATATGAATATTTGAATATTCGAACATTCAAATATCAGTATTCGATGCTGCGATACCTATTATTATTAAACGTTTTGTGTTGCGTGAAAACTTAAACGAATAATTTTCGTTACGTATTGTATTGTAGCATCGAACACTGATATTCGAATGATCGAATAATTCCCATCACTGGTTCCCAATAAGTACATAGGTACTAATAAGTTATTAATAATAACTAGTAACTAACTGTAATTATCTTATTACAAATAAAATATTTTCAAATTGTAATAACAATTGTAATATTCTTACTTTAGCCTATAGATACGCATCATACAATGTACATATTAATATATTATTATAACTTTTTAAAATTATTTTTATTCGTGTTTATATGACAAATATAAAAAAAATATATTAAAATAAGTGTACCTAATAAGTCAATAATAACACTTATAAAAAAAAAAGCCGCCCTCCCAAAAAGGCCGCTCTAGGCTATAAGCCTTTTAGCCTGCCACCTAATCCGCCACTGCCGATACCGCTGGATACTGAAACCGAAACTCAAATAAATAATAACAGTCGTAATAAGGTATACGCTTACCGGATTCGGACGAAACTGCACGGCGTAATGTTCACCGAAACCGACTCGTAATTGACTCTCGGCCTTCTTTATTAATAATGCCAACGTACGGTTAACCGTTTATTGACAGCCGATTATCGTTATTATGATAATTTTTAAAATGCACGCACCGTAATATGTTGCCGACCAGCTACGGTGGTGGTAACATAATAAAATTATTGAATTATCGCATTGACGACGAATAATATTATGCTAATCCGATTACATCGTTCGCACGTTATCGAACTCCGTTGATACAGATAATTATACGATATCGGCATAGGCGGGACTAGAGTAAAAAATCTGGGAGGGCTACAGCCCTCCAACCAAAACTTAAAATAACCTGTAGATTATCCCTACTCTTATATACCATGTTAATATACTTGAGATTCTGAGCCAAATTGGATTTACTGCAATGTTTCTTTTTTTGTATGTGACACTATTGCGAGTTGAGTATGCTGTATGCGGTATGCCATGTATAACCTGGAATATTTATGGGGGGGGGGGGCTAAATCTTGATCCGGGGGGCTAAACCTCCGCCCCCCCCCTAATTGCGCTTATGGATATCGGTGAGCTACTAATCGTAGTCGCAAATAGTTTTCGTTTATATATTCGTTCCCTCTCGAAAAAACGTCATTTCAACTTCGAGGAACGTGAAACGGTACCTATTATAATTCCTAGTTATCATTCCCGACACGGGGTGGCCGTAAACGAAATATCGATGCGCGTGCATCGTGTTACAATGCACAGGACGGCTGAAAGTCTGATCGTATACACACCGACGATCCATTTGCGATTTCGGTTTTATTTCGCCGATGAGCTAACTCACTCGATGTGGTCGATGTAGTCGCACGTAGTGATGGGCATATCCGGATTTAAGAAATCCGAATTATTTGGATTTGTCAAATCCGGATTTAAGAAATTCGGATTTCATGGATTATCCGAACTATCCAGATTATTCAATTCAATTTTGCTGTTCAATTACTCATTTTTATATTTACATAAATTTAACTCATCTTCAAAAAATCTTATTTAATAACCATTCTAAGGTTATGCAGTTAAAAGATAAATTAATTGGGTATTCAGTCATGATATCGTTGTAAGTTATAGAGGTATAAAGTAAAACTCAATAATTTAGTAAATTATAATTTTGGTAATTAATAATACATTCTAAAAACTGTTGAAATTATGATAAGTAAATTGAAATTCATAAAATATAATATTAATTTTTTGTTACAATAAAATAAAATAATTTATTTTACTAAAAATTAAAAATAATTATAAGTTATATAAAAAGCAAATTCATAAATCCGAATAATCTGTATACTTCGGCAAATCCGGATAAGAATTTGATTCAAATCCGGATTTGAATATCCCAATATCCGGATAATTCAGATATTCGGATTTCATGCCCATCCCTAGTCGCACGCGAGTGTAGTGCACAACTCATATTTTAACATACGAAGTACATGGCGCTAATCCCCCACCCCCACAGTGATTATTAAATGCTACCCAGTGGCAAGCGCACCCGCAAGATAAAATCCCACCCGGGGCAAGATTAAAATTCTAAGGGCCAAAATAACGTATATCTTAAAATAGACGAAAATAAAATCAAATACCATAGAAAACTTCGGGAGAATTTATAGTTTTAAGCGATATGCAGTCATGTGTAAACATTGTACACTAATAAATACGTTCAAGATTATAAATTTTACAAAACTTAGTTAATGGATCTTAATAAAATTATTTATTTATTTATTCACATATATCTATTCAAAAACTCATTTATATACTTATTTTTTTATTTTTGTTGCTTTATAGTGTGTTAGTATATTGTAGCCGACGTCATATGCAAAATAAATAAATAAATAAAATTATGTTGCAATTAATAAGCGTGGTATTAAATTAACAATAGTTTTGAAACAAAAATTCCCAGTAGGGTCATTGACACCTTTGCCCCCTCCTCCCTGCGGGAGCGCATGCCCAGTGGTGGGTGATCGTGCCACTGACAAACACGTTCTCATAACGACCGTAATGACAGGGGTTGATTTTCCCGGTGTGTTTCTCTGACAATTTTGGTGAAGTGAAAATTACGTAAAATATGTTCTGGCACAAACTGCGCACTGCGGTTTCGCGTTCAAATTGGCTTTGCGACGCCGAGCTATGTAACAAACGCGCAATGGTTCAGAACTTTTGTACGTTCGGTCACCGCTTCGAGACCGTCACGGAGTCGTGACCGGTAACGCGGGCAACGGGAATAATTTACAACAATGACGGTAATGTCACTCCGCGTGAGATAATTATGTGTTTTCTCGGTGTCCCCATTGGTCGAACGCGAGTTGACGTCATTCACGTAATCCGCTAATGACGTAGTCGGCAAACAATCCGTGTGCAAGCCTTTGCAATCGGTTTCTGGACGAGTTTATTATTCGCGATGATTATATACCACGTGCACTTAAGTTCATCTGGGTGCGGAAACTTTCGAAAACGGAGTATGATAATTCAGACACGAATACGCGCGTGCGCGTTAATGACCTTCGGACGGACGATAATGACATTGAACGTTTATATTAAATCATATTTGTTTTTATTATTACTATTATAACTACTTTAATTCGTTTCAGAGAGTTCTTTCAGCTGCGGCTTCCGTCCGTTCATCGGGGATAAGCGCACACTGACTACACCGCGCCGAGAAATCCGACTGAAACCGGTTAGCCGCCTGCGATTATAATATTATTACTATAACTGCTGCTGATGTTTCTCTACTCGCATATTACACGTATTTAACGAATGTCATTCATTTACATCGAGGAGCACGCGTGCATTATGAGCATTACGGTTGACGAATAGACACGCACGCACCGCGGCCGTTCCCGAGCGAATCGATCATCGCATCCTGACCGTTTCCGTGGGGAGGAACACTAGTCGAGAAAATGATTTCGCCCAGACGCGTAAATGTCTGTTCGCTACTACCGTCATTGTGCACCGCGCTTGTTGTCGTAGCAGCAGCCAGCAATCCGAGTGAGTGACGTTTTTTTTTCGTTTTTTTCCCCTTTCCTTTAGCGCACGCGTCTAACAATGATTTACTAATTATGACTATCCGTTCCTCAGGTCAATTGCTGAGGATTAAACTCGAGAAGGACGCGACGGCGACGAGACTCGCGGCGACGACCAACGTGACGGTAATTATTAATAGTCCTATAATGCATTCATGTGGTAAGCTTTGAAACCCCGATTTTTAGGGTTACCAGGCATGTGGCCGAGGGACGGAGTGCGTTTCGATGCGCGAATACTGCGAATTGGACCCGGCGGCATCGGCGAACATACAGAAATGTGGTTTGGACCATCAGCTGTGAGTATATGTAATATAATATTCGCGTTACACCGTATCCGACAAAGGTGCCTTAAGACATTGGTCGTTTACCGCGAGAGAAAATAACGAAAAATAAAAATAATAAACAAACAGTTTTTCCGAAACTACCCCGATACATAATACTGGTATCTCTTTTCGCACGGTGTACCGCGGGTTCCGTACGCTGTTAATAATGTCCGTCGAAAAGTCCGCCGTGTCGCATGCATCAACGCGTGTGGATCTACGGAGTAAATTAACATCCCATCGGCCGGTAGTTGTTGTCGAATGCGATTTTTTTGGTTCGTTCGTAAATATTTGTCGAACCTTTTTCGACGGTTCACACCCACCGCAGATATTTGCATACGTTTTTTACAATTTTTAAGAGCTATTGTTTCACCGCATACCAGAGTTATTCAAACGTTTATGGTACTACAGTAATAACCCGGTTCCGTTGTGTGTATGTAATCACGCCTGGTCGTCGTACTTTGTTTCGAGCAGCCAAAAAGTATCTGGATATCATGAACAGATTACGGTTGCTTTTTGTTTCGATTCTAGTGTTAAAATAAAAATGACGCTTTCGTTGGCAAAATAAATCGACGGCGATCGCGGAGCTCACGCGTCCTTGTTTTCAAGGCGCTAGTGTTATAATGCACCTGACACAGTCATTATTGCGTTCATTTTTTTTTCTCCATCGAAATGACCGTCAGAGGTCTTCGTCAATGTATTTTTAAGTCGGGAGGGGTAAAGTGGACTGTAACTCTTATACCCCTTCTCTAATTAGATAGTTATCACGTGTATGTACTTTACTCCCAGTGGAGTTGGCCCGGTGAGGAGTAGTGTAGAACAACCAGAATGATGACTGAGGAGAAAGACTACAGAATTAATTTTGTAAAATCGTTGCGTTAGTAAAATTATTTAATTTCTTATTATTTACGTTCATTCGCAACGCCGCGGTCCAATGGCGGGATGTGTGAAAGAACGGATTATAATATATACATATGTGTATGGATTTTATATGACATTATAAACCAAACATTCATGTTCTACATTACTCGCCGATCGCGCACGTGAAAAACCAAAAAACGATATTATTAAGAACAACATTTTTTGATAAAAACTTACAATCCGTTTCGAAGCACGGAATTCTCTACTAACCGTTCGACGTTTCGTGCGTATGGAAAAAAAAATAGCGCGTATCGCGTTTTGACAAATCATTAAACAGATACGTTTGCGACGCACCTACGCGTGCACATGTATAGAGAAATATTTTTGACAAGTTTCAGAATACGGTAAAATTCGAATGAATTCATACAAAACTACAAAATTAAGTATTTATAAATAACCTAATCTAGTAATTTGGAAGACAAATTCGTTGAATCTTTTCTCTTTTTTCATTATTATAAACACTGATACTGCCGACGCCCACGGCGGCTATAATATAGTTGAGTGTTATAAATAAATATCGTTATTTTATAACAAGTATTGTGCCTATCACAGATGTTTCAGATATAACTTAAAACCAATATCGCTGGGATGTTGGAAACATCAAATGTTTAATGAGATGTTAGTAAAATTCAATATTGGAAAATCGGATTTTTTTTGATTTTTCGGAACGTGCGCGCGACAAGCATTAGCAAACTGTTGTGCATTGTTGATGTGCATATAAGTAACACGTATACAACACTAATCGTACATTACCAGAACCAAATACATTTGTTCGTTATATTGAATTCATATATGGCACGGGCGGGTTTAAGGAGGTGGCTAAGGAGGCATTAGCCCCCCCCCCTCTCTTGGGACTAAGCTATCTATTTTACAAAGCAAAGTATTATTATATATTAATAATTATAATAAAATATTGTCAATGATCATTGATGAATATGATACCTATTTGATATATTTTTTTTATAAATAAATAGATCACTTTTGTTGTTAATTATACGTATTTACCTACATTTTAAAATGGTTTCAGATTAAAATTGATACTATAATGTAAATATTTAAATTTTGTTATTATTGTGAAAAAATTGACTTACTTATGAGGGACTCAAA